CAAAGATGAAAACAGTCCTAATTCCACATTGATCAGAGCCGCTGATGCTTCAAACATTGATAAACAGCATCTAGTGAGTGTAGTGCTTATAACATTTTATTAATGTAGCACAATGCTGCTTTTCTCTTTAAACAATGAATTCCTCTAATCAGTACGGATGCTCACATCCAGCATAAAAAAGGGCATATGGCATAGCACCAATGACACCCGGCCAATAGTGTCCCTACCAGAGTTCAGATCAAACCTACACCCTTGGGATGCAGTAATCATGACCCTCAGTCTTAAAGCACACCACAGATAATAAAACACAAAGATGACATCATTCTTCTCACCATTAACTTGACCTCAACTTTGAGGCTACATGCAAACCTGGTGTAGATAAAAAATATATAAATGTAAGAATCAAACCAAATCAGCTCCAATAAGGAATTAATTCATGGAGTCTGTCAATGCTCCCATGGATGACACCCGACACAAAGTAAATATGGGAGTCCTGCAGAAATGCCAGAGATAAAAACAGCACAGTGTAATCTAAGTGAGAGATGCATTGAACTGATAACACAATGGCTGCTGGCTGCCATGAGGTCATTTGCATGTACAATGTCAAGTTTTTGAACATAAAGCATCATTTTCAACTTTAGGTTCTGATTGTAAATCACTGAAATGGAAACAGACGCCTGAGAGAAAAAGGATGCTAACTCTGTATGATTCATCATGTCCAACAAAAACAACATGAACCTGCTAATGAACTCATACTGAAGCAGTTCTGCTTCAACAATTTCATTCATTTTCCCAATTATTTCAATATTGATCTTTAATTTGCACCTCTACAACCTGCCTTTCCTTTTTCTTTCTTTAAACAGAAAAACAGCTGTACATACAGCCACATGGAATCTTTATTTAGTTTCTCTATTTTTTCTGTACCAACAATTCGTGTCGACACTTGGGAGCAAAACTGTCAATTACAGTTACTTTGATGAGGAGGAAAAATCTAAAAAAAACAAAAAAACAAAATAGACTGATAAAAAGAGCACAAACAACTGTCAATATAATGCTATTTTCACACCTAAAGCAGCAGAGGCAGCAGAAGCAGCTAGTTTACATGCAAAGTCAATGGTTGACATGCATCAAGGCGCAGCAAAAGGGCCTGCAGCAGGTTTTGAGCAGCACCTCACTAGCTTCTGAGCATCTGACGCGTGGGACACACTGCAAAGCAGCAGCTGCTAGAGTTGGAAAAATTTAACTTATGCTGCTTGACGCGCCACATTAATCGATCAGAGAAGCTGAACTGGGAGCTGGCAGGGCCGGGTTCCCGCGGGTCCTTAAAAAGTCTTAAAAGGCATTGAATTCTTCAAAATAAAACTAAGGCCTTAATTGGTATTAAAATGTCTTAAATCAGTCTTTCGTAGGTCTTAATTTTTAAAACATCATAAATAGGATAATTTTTATTATGATTTATTTTTTTGTAATCTAAATAAAACATTAAAATTGACCTTTTGTTTTTATATAAAAAAAAAAAAAATGGCTCACCATTATTGATTCCATCCCGATAACGGAACCAATAAAAGTGTTGTTGCAGCCGGGACATTTGGGAGATGCGCCATTTACTTTTTGTCTGGAAAATATGAGCAAGTGTAAATGTAACGGAAATTGGTTATCCAGCCAAGAGTTTTCTCCATGGCTAAAACCAGGGAACATACATGAGGCACAGTGGATTTTGTGCAAGAAGTCATTCAAGCTCAGAATGATGGGAATTAAGGGCGGGGAAGTCGCATGCGAAGCGCGAAACACAAAGCTTCAAAATCGAGTTACCGAGAAACAGCCGGTATTTCTCAGTTTTGTTCCACCCTTGTCTCTGCAACGCCTCCACTTATCACCAAATCAAACATACTAAGAAAACCATACAAAGAAAAATAGCTGCAAAAAAGACTTAGCACTGGTTATGTTGTGGCTTTAAATTTGATTTGTTTTGTTCCCTGCTAAAACAAAGTTTGTGAATTCAGTTAAATAATAGTTAAAATATTTCTGTCATTTTGTGTTTTTAGCTTTCTTCCTGTATGGGAAGCTTTTCAAAATTTGAAACATTAGTGCAGTGGTTTATGTTATAACAAACCTTTGGGTTAAGTTGTCGCAAGCTGGTTTTTCTTGTGTTTCTTGTGAATTTGGTCTTAAATTTTTATTTCAAGAGGCATTAAAAAGTGTTGAATTTAACTTGCCTTATGCTGTAGGAACCCTGCAGGGAGACAGACACAGCGCTACTGATGCAGAGCGCTATGATCACTCCCCTGAAACAGTTTACTAATGCCTCAAATAATTGAAAATGCCGAAATCTGGTGGCAAAACATATTTGCTTTTATTATTCTGGTGCCTGCAGTTTGGATTACGTACATGACAAACATCTACTTCCAGCCGCTGCGATCAGCAAACTGCGAAGAGGTGACCGGGTCAGAGGCTGCTGTTGAAGGGATTCCTAGTGACAGAGCACCCCTGGTGTACAGGGGTCTGAGCGGCTCTGACAGTGAAATAATATTTGAAGGCAGGATGGTAATCTGGATGAACTGACTGCACTGATGAAGTTTTCAAGTGGACCTTCTCACTAAAAAAACATTAAAACTACTTTTTACCCACTGATCAAAGCAAAGGCATGCTTCTCTGCTTCAGTACAGCTGATTTCCATTGATAGCTGATTAACAGACTTTTGCTGAACTGCAGTCATTAGAATCAGCTATGATGAAGCAGGGAAACCTCTTAGACCTGCAGGAAAGCGGCCCTTTGGCAGGCCTGATGTGGAGGCTGGATAGTTCTGCTCTGTTTTTGCGCATCAGAACGCAGCAGGCCTGACTGGATCGCTGAGGGACAGACGTGGCTTTTCATATTTCATATAAAATTCATATTTACTGTAATAAACTTTAACCTCTGAGCAGGTCTCTGTTTGCTCTGACTGCCATCTCCAAGGGTGGGCTGGTGGGTCTATAGAATACTAATCCAGGCTGAGCTAATTGTCCAAATGGCAGCTTGGTTTATTTCTCTTTTTTTTGGGCTGGGGGGCAGGGGGGTCACGGTTAAGACCGGAGAACACAAACCGTTTTAGGGAAATGGGAATTCAGACAATAAATTAGATGGAGTAAATTAATTGGTTTGACTGTGTGAACGCTTCTAAAGTTCATATCTTCCAAAATCAATCAGTCAGAGCAGGAAATTAGAGCCAATAATGGAGCAGGGTGATTCTAACGAGGCTTGGCAACACGGAGAAAAATAGGTCCGACAAGATAATACCTTCCTTTGTGCCTTCAATCAATACTCTAAATAGAACAGGTTCATTAGTGTTCCAGGCCCGTTCACACCTCCACAGTCGCTCACTAATTGCAGAGCTGCATTGATTGGAGTCCAGAGGAGCTCAGAAGTTCCTGTTTAACATTAAAATGCAGCGTTTGAAACCCCCACAGCCTCGGTAGAGAGAACACTGAGTCCAAAGAGTATCAAACTGTTCCCAGATCAGAGACAGAACCTGATGCACCCAAAAACATCACTGAGGCTCAGGTTTAATAAACCACTCAAACTGGATCCAGGTGACTTTGTGAGACTCAGCTTCTGCTGAAAAAAAAACCTCATTAACAGAGGAGGAGCCTGGGAGCTGGAGTCCATCCATGAAGGATGGAATCAAGGTGCTAAAAGGTCACAAAGGGCACAGAATCTCTTTAGCAAGATTCTCAGGGGAGCTTTTGTTCGGTGTCTTGGTTTTGGATCTTATTTTGAGTCTGCAGGTATTAAGACTTCCTCTTCCTCAAAGACCTGTCAGGTTCGCTCCTCTTAGGTTGGATTTGGACAAATATATTTAACCACAAACCTTTAAACTCTCCCTTTATGTCATGTTGGGTAGTTCTGAGGAGTCAGTATCTTCTTTCAAAATTTTCCAACAGGAGAAAAAAATTAATTATTTCTTCTTTTAAAAGTCCCAAGAGATCAAATCTTGTACTTTACAAGTCAGTGGACTCTAAAGTGCTTCCATTCAGTCATTCATACACTGATGGTGGTAAGCTAGATTGAAGCCACAGCTGCCCTGGGGCACACTGACAGAAGTCAGACCAAGATATAGAGACACTACCAGGCCCTGACCACCATCTCTTGGTGGGGAAGGTTCAAATGTCTTTATTAAGGACACAACAACTGAAACAGACGAAGCTTTGCAGTGCAGCTCGTCCTCAGGTAGCAGGACGAGCTGCACGGTAAAGGAGAGCCATCCTTCCACTAATGCTAAGATCAATGAGAGCATCTAGTGATAATCAGTTTCAATCCTCTAAACATCTTATTTACATATAAATAAAAAACCAAAACAAAAATTGATTGAAAGCAATAAATTGAAATATACCAACCAAAGAAATTTAGAATAAATAAAGATGCAATTAATTAAATAATAATATGAATAAAGGATACAGCAGAAAAGCATCAGAAATCTGAGTCGTTCAATATTTATAGTAAAATACAACAACAGATAAATAACTAGAGAAAATAAAATGAAAACATAGGAACCTTAGTGCATCATTTTAAACCCTGTTTCCTTTTAGATTCATATGAAAAGTATCTGGATGGTTCCTGTTCTATCAAGTGAGAAATGCTCCCATCTGTGCTCCATGGTGTCCCGTCCAGAGGTGGGAATGATAATTTTCTTTTATTGTGTTGCAAACATGTCTGAGGGAAACCTGCCTATTGTTTTATACATGATCTGGTCTGATGCAGGAAAAGGTCTGATGCAGGAACACAGGATTCAGATCTAAATCCACGGCAGAAAAAAAAGCCCATATTGTTTTTTTCTTTACTGTTGGATCTCTGCATTGTTTCTTTTTTTGTGTTCAGTTTGACTAAGGATTAAACAATGATATGATAAATGTGGGCCTCTGCTCAGTTTCTGTTCAGTACATAAATCAGTTAACAAATTATCTGATTCAACATAAAGTCAATATGTTAGATCAATGAAAAATATCTCTGCTCTTTTCACTGACCTGTGCACTTCCTGCTGCTGTCGTCCTTCTTGGACGAGCTCATCAGTTTGCAGTTGAAGTTCTCCTCCCAGTACTCAGCAAACCACACGTTCCTGCGGTTGTTCTCCAGGGTCCGCGACATGAAGTAGGAGTCGAAGCCTGGAAGACAACCAGCAGCGGATTTTAGTCATCAGGAGCTGGAGCCACTCCAGCACGAACACACACAGCGTCGGCGTACAGGACGTGTCCTCTGATGTATGGAAGTGTTTATCTGCTCATCTTTAATCGGAAGCATCATGTCGTTTAGCTGAAGTGGAGTCAGAGGGGAGCACTTCAGAAAGGAGCTCCTCCACATGTTAAACTGATACCTTCTGCCGGGTTGAACAGCTCCTGGCAGCATCTGGGTAAAGCCTCACATGAAGGCAGAACTATTGGATCCATCCAGAACCTCTCACTGAAAACTAACAGAAAAGTATCCCATTGCCTCCAAACAGCCTCTGCCAACTAAAATCTGCAGGTTTTTCCTTTCAAAACCTAAAAACTGGAGCTTTAAGAAACATCTTTCAGCTCAGAAATTAAAAAATCGAAGTTGATCATCTCTTCCTGAGTCCAACTTCCTTTCTGCCTCTGCTGACAACTTGTCTGCTCCTCTCCATCACTCTGAGCCCCACTGTCTTCAGTAGGAGTTATGAGGAGGCTTTTATCTAAAGAAGTGCTTTTAATCTGCTCCATATACCTACTGTCATCAGACTGAGCAGCAGCCGAGACGCTTCACTGTCACAGAGTCTGCTCAGATGTCCTTGAAACTGTGAAATTATCCCAGACATGCATAAATCTTTATAATTTCTGACAGGACTGAATTAGGATTGTGACCTCGTTAGGCTGAAGGTCAGCAGGAGGTGTTAAGGAAGAGGAGTCAGTGAGGAGGTGACTACGGTTAAGGATAAAAGGTGAAAACTGAAAGAGAAATCGAGTTAAAACTTAAGGAAGCAATCTACTGGACTCTTTCATTGTGTTTAACCATAGAACTCTGTCTCCAGATCCATTATGATATATAAAGTTTATCTGTTATTCTGTTTTCAGGATCTATTTCTATATAAACAGGAATCAACTTTTTTCCAAGTAGGTAAGACATCAGTATTGGCTTTAGGGAAGCAACAACCTTTACCCATGAATGCATAAATCATCATGTCACCTTCAAACTATATAAAGTCTAACATTCCAGAAAGAAGATCTCAGAAAGCTTCCCATTATTGGACGTTCCAGCCCAAGGTCAGGACATGAGGTTTAGGGAAATGACCTCTATCCTAGAGTCTCCAGGCCTTGGTTGCAGGTTCTAGGCTAAAAGCCATGACCCTGCTTCAGTCTCATGAAGGAGAAAGCCTGATTTCACAACAGCAGGAATTATGCTGGTAAAGCTGTGTCTGGATGTAGCATTAAAAACATCCCTGCTCATTCATCTGCAGTATCCGTGTCCATGTCCTACTCCTTTAAAAAAAAAAAACTTTTTTTATCACCTCCACCAAAACCTGCTTTGATGTCCCTCCTCTGGGGTTAGAAGATACGGCCATGTCTGTGTCTGATATAGGTTCCCAGTGATCATCTCTTTAAAATAATCCTTTTGTGTTTGTCAGTCTGTAAATGTCCATTCTGGGTAGAATCAGGTTTAAATGCACAGGAAAGTTCACATCCTCTCTGTTAAACCAAAGCTGGCTTCACCTCTCTGCAGATTGTTTTTGAAGATCTTTCCAGCATCCTCTGGGTCATGACTGTCAGAAAGCGTCTGGAAGCTGCAGCCTGTCTCCCTGTTGAAGTACTGTGGCTGCTGGCTGCCAGAGGGGAGCTCAGAGGTCACACAGCAGCGCGGTTTGCTGTGCGGCCATCGCTGCTCCTAACACAATCTGTGGAAAATCATTTTGGAGAGCTTTCATCTTGTTTTGGCAGGAATGATTTAGAACAAACTCAGGGTTATGTGGAAAGCAGCACCAGACCCTACAGCTGCACAACACAAACACAAAAAATATCTGTTTACATTTTTTAATGGGATTGTGTTTCCAGCAGGTAAATGGCAGCAGCGGAGTTAGACTTTTATAGTTGGGGGATGGGGGGCAGATTGGTGATCAAGACTATCTCTGCACTGCAAAATTTTTTTATCTATGTCATTTTCTTAAATAAAGTGCATTTTTTTCTTGAAATGAGCACTTTACACATTTCAATTTACATTCAAAACAAGATAAAACAACTGTAGTCTCTTATTTCCAGTGTATAATATCCAAGTTTCTTATTTTAGGTTCATCATATTTACCTACTCAAATTAAGGGTAAATACAATTATTTAAAGAATTTTTAAAATAATTTGAAGATTGATTTTGCAGTGTGAGGGATCCACTGATTATGAGAGTAAATATCTTCTCAATCATTTACAATTAGTTTCTAACCGCAAATTATTTAAGAATCACTTGGGCACAAAGGGGATGAGAGCTTTTGAATTAGTTAGCAGTTTATCCTAATTGGCTATATTCCTCTGTATCTTCACTTCAAGGGGCTCATCTTCTTCACCAAGTTTTTGAGGGTTGTTGTGATTTGGTGCTAATGTAAATAAAACATATATATATATATATATATATATATATATATATATATATATATATATGAGCATTTAACTCTTAAATGCTCATATTTACTACATATGTCGGTCTGTTTTATTTACATTAGCTTGGAAATTCTACACACACACACGTTTATCCCACTTTTTAAACTTAGAGAACAGAAACTTGATGGCTGTTATAAAAATGGCAACAGATTTCTCACAGCAGATATTTAACAAAAATAATACGTTGTGTTTTATTAAGAGGTCATGTAATATTTGCTGGTCTAAACAGATCTTATTTAACTGGACTCAGGGCAAAATGGATATTTGTATTTTGAAAGGTTGCAGACCTCTAGACTTTTCATCTTTTTCTGTGTTTCGGTACACATTTACTAGAGCAATTAGACTTTTTTGAAGCCTTGGTTCCTCTGGAGGTACCAAAAAAAGTTAGAGTACGAATGTAATTTTTACAGCTTTAAATTGCAATAAAAATACATTTTAGATTATTTCAAATGAGAAAATACATCCCAAACCATTTCATCTCATTCATCTCGTGGGGAGTGGTGGCTGTGGTTAGGGCATTGCACTTGGAATCCAGAGGTTCTGAGTTCGAGTCCCACCCCCACAGACTGCCACTCTGGCTCCCTGAGATAAGACCTTTGACCCCACCCTGCTCCCTGAGCCCCGCAAAATGGCAGCCCACTGCTCCCCAAGGGGATGGGTTAAATGCAGGGAGTGAATTTCATTAATCTGTACTTGTGACAGTGTAATAAAAATAAAAATAAGTGGTGAGTTTAGAATTAACTTATCATTAAATCTGTTTTAGCAGCATGACAGTAATTATAAATGTGTTTTTGGAACTGCAAAGCTCAGGCCGATCTGGCTGCTAGGCTTTCTAAACTAACTGGGTGGTAGAACTGGGACTCTCCCAGTTACAGCAGCCATAATTCTGGCAGGCCAGCCAGCTCTATGTTATCCGTGTGTGGTGACTAAAAGTGAATTGAAAGTGATTATTAGGTCTGTGGGGAAAAGAAACAAACAAACAAAAAAGCAAGTACCCGAATGCAAAATCCAGCATTTTTCAGTCCTGCCATCATTGACTCCACTGTCTGCAATTTCTGCCTGATATAATCATTCACTTATAATTAGAAGGTAAAGATAATTATCCCCTACACCTGCTTAATGACTATAAGAAATAAACGTATTAACTTTTTCTGTTTGTGCTGTAGATATTTGAGTTTCACTTAGTTATTATTATAAGAAAAGAAAAATCAGGCTATTTTTCACAGGTATTGTAAATGATTCATGCAACATGCTATAAAGCAACAATTATGACTGAATGTAGGTTGATTTGACTTAAATGTCAATAACAATTTGATCCAGTTAAGGATCCATTTCAACCTAACATTAAGAATTAATCCAAGGCATGACTTTAAAGCTGGTCACCAGAGGAAGGGGATGTGAAGGGTTGGGACGTCTCGCCAGGATGTCAGGGTTTCTTCTCACTGGATAATGATGTGATTCTTCATTCATCAGTTTAACTGCAGTCAGATCTTTTTCTGATCTCGATTAGAACCGAACTTAAGAACTTCCTAACATGCAATGAGCTGAAATGATCTTTTAAACACAGGAGCTTTAGTTGAGTCAGCAGGGAGAGTTCGGCCCAGGTGAGCAGAATGGGAATGATGATGCAATCCGAGGTAAGGAGTCTTCGTTTTACCCAAGATTCACTGAGACAGAATCAGATGCAGGATTGATCTACAGTCCTGTCCTGAATTTCGGTTCTCTCCAATCACATGAACCTTTCAGCATCGTGGCAGTTTTTCAGAGAAGAACTGACTGGTAGAACCTCAGATCCATCTTAATGCAGGAAACGCTCCAGATGAACTGAACTCCAGCAACAGCGCTTCTCCTCAGACGTAAGCTAATTACAGCCCATATATTACAGAGAAGCCTGGAAGGCAGCAGAAAGGAGATTCTGCTGCTGCTTCACCGGTATTGATCCAGCATGGAGCTGTTGCACATTTACACACAGTTTGTCTTCTTTTAATGACGCTATTAATCAGCATCTGTCCGAGTCCACTTTTAGCTCCGCTGCTCTGACCTGTCAGGACTGACTTCCATCCCCCTAATTGGGACACAAACAGCAAGAAATTATGACTTTGAAGCTCCACTCACTTCTTTAGAGCATATTGATGTTTTGACAGAGAGTCTGGACTCTCCAGGACGGGGAATGCTTTGTTCTGCTCAAGTGAAAAAAATAAGATTTAGAGACACCAAATTCAGGTAAACCATCCAATGTCTAAAGGGCTCAAATGTTTATCTCTATTTCTGACTGCATCTGATGGAAAGAGGATGCAGAGAATGATATGAGGAAACAGAGCTTTGCTGTTCCTGTGGTTGAATGTGCCTACTTTTCCTGTTTCTGACCTGCTGCTTCAGTGGAATCTATTCAGGCTGCGTGTCGTAGCATCAACTCTGATGTATTTATAGCTGAAACACAGAAGCTGCTGCCAGTGTTTCAGGCTTTTAGCTCAGAATCAAACGTAGGGAGCAGTCTGTAGAGTGTT